ATAAATTTATATGCATAGGAAGTAGGAACCTTGCCTTACGAACTTTATTTGCGCAGAAACTCGGTGGGTATAAAGGGTTCACACCGTTCACTTGTAGTATTAGCTTTATTAAAAGGTGCATTATAGGTCATTTCTCCGACCAGAGATGAGGAGATCGTACTTTTATACGGCCAAAAACCTTGGTCAAGTCGACAACCCGCATGTTTCTTGATGAAGTCAAATGTATCATTGTTAGATATTGACAATTTTATAAAGATGTACTGCTTTTTTGCAGAGCCCGGGGTCGAATGGCGAACAAAGGTAGTACAGCGAGTGCATTTTTCCGATTTGACGGTCCGTAAGACGTTAAGACTAAGGTGATTAAGTCACAAGTCGACAAGTGATAAGGGAGGACGTACGTTAGGGGGCACTATAATATCGCTTTTTTAGGTCAATGCTTGGTTAACCATAAATAATAATGTAAAGATCATCTTACCTGAAGGCGATAATAGAAATTTCTCTTCGGCTGTACTGGAGGGCGACCTAGGCGACAGCCCCTGCGGCGTCCTGCTGTTCGTCGCGATAGGGCGAGCCGGAGTAAGAGCTACAGCTCTCCTACTCAGAGACAGGTTGTTAGGTCTCAGAGTCAGAGACATCCTCGGACGAACACAAAGGCTTAATTGAGTTTGTATATATTGACGAGGTCACAATATCACATACAATACGCTAGACAAACACTGCCAGACGCTCGTCTCGTGCTATCAGGTTGGGTGATGATGACCTAAAAGGTCGTATGGCCGTAACGGCACTCCGTGACGCTGCTATCTAAGGCCACGTGAAACTGCCGGCAGCTCGAACGTTCCCCATTCAACAACTCCTTTAGAAGCCGAGTTGATATGTCCATACGTCTCTGATAGCAGTATTTGACAGGTTAAGTAACTTATCTTACTCTCTTGGATGGGGGGACGAAGATGTCCCCTAGCGTATCATGACTGCAACGGTCGACCTCCGCCGTCATCAGCAGAACCTGATGGAGGGTCTGATTCGTGCGGGCGGAAACAAGGCGGACAAACTCCGGGGGACATTACAAAGTTCAACTCACTAATACTTTTGGAATGGAATTTTATAAATTTAGCCATAGTATTGATCTGCTTATAAGTTTGGTGGATCACTCTGTAAAGTCCAAGTACTTGTCATGCTCTCTATAGCAGCTCCCTGTGCACCACTCGATGGGTGCTATTTCACACCACGTGTTTCCTCGCTCGAGCTGTATCTAATAACCTCACGACACCAGAATGCTCGTGTTAATTTGATGCAACTCTATTAAACACGTTAGGATTATTTTTCCCGCGTAAAAAGCAAAAAGGGCGCGATCGGAGCAACACTGGACCACTGGAGAGCGATAGTTCACTATTGACCGGTGAAAATGAACACCAGACTAGGAGAGCTGCCGCTCGACTGCAGACGACGCTGACTGCGACCGTACGGAGCATGCGCCAACCTAAGCTCTGGCTACATTCTCCCCCCTCCTTATCTCCCTCCTAGAACCTCTGTCTCGTCTTCACGTTTCGCCCTTATTTATACTATTTCCGCTCTTACGTCATCTTGTAGTTCGGCCCCTTTTTTGATCCAATTTCATATGAAATTGCGCCAATCTCTGTTTTGCGGTCAAATTTGTAGACCACTACCATTCCTGCAATAGTAAGTAATGCATTATAGATTTGTTTCTGTACGTTATTAGCTGTATTATTTTCGTTATGAATACATTTCTTTCTTTCGTGGAGAGGAAATGTAGTCATGTACTGAAGCTTTGGTCGCGCCCTACAGCTTATATCGTAGCGGACTAGCGGCTACCAATTAAACCTTCAACTATAGGCTAATACCTATCCGCTACTCCACAAATTCGGCCTTGGTTGCATTCTCATGGACATTTTCGTTGACATGTGATCAAAACACAAACACCTATACTGCTACTAAAGAGGGTATCAGATGTCGAAAGTATAAATCAAAGAAAGAATACATGAATTTAACGATTGTGGAACAATTAATGAAAAGCCCAACTAGGCTTCGACAGTGGGTGCACTTGGACAGGTTGTATATCATCACTCTTCATGCCATGAATGTTTGTTTGTTCAGCTGTCACTAACATTTGCCTATATACTGGCTTTACGGATTTTACGTTGCATGGGAACACAATAATGGGACGAAAATAAAACTCTGCTTATATGACCCTACAAGCAAACTGCAGGGATAAATTTTCGTCCTCTACCACTATCGAAATGTAAATCAAATTCAAATATGAGCCTAGAAAATTTACTGTTCTTGCAGCTGGGAGAATATGACTTCATATTAATCATTTGGTAAAAATAGGCACCGCATGATAACTTTTCCTTGCCAGCTCACAGTTATAAATAAGTTCCTTTATCATGTATCTAATCTTCACTAACCTACATATTTGCTAAAGCATTCGGTTTCTAGTGTTTCTACCCGATTTTTTTTTTTTTTTTGCTCTATATGTCTAAATCGAGGAATGTATCAATAATTATTTCAAAATTGTCTGTTTACTTTCACACTCACGAGTTCGAGAATCCAATTTAAAAATGCATTAAACATTTATGACATTGAACCGGAAACTTGGTGCAATTAATCTCTGAAATTTTTAATTAGTTAAGATAGGTTACTTAATTGTTTTAATCAATTTTCATCTTGTAGCACGCAATATGTACTGCAAGCTGTGCATCAACTATGGAGTATCTAGTTGGTATCAAGCTATTTGGATGTTTAAAATTTGTTATTAGAGCGCGAAACTAAAAGACCAACAGAATTTTTGATGCTAGAAGATAAACATATTTGTTCGTCTTTTCCGCATCGGTTCATAAAGACGTATATAGGTGCTCATTGCACCGGTGTTATCGTATAGCGAGGCGCTCTATCTCTGATATCGCGACCCTCAAGACTTCACTCTCACAATTCACATGGTAAATGCTCAAACCTTGAAGAATAATGTACTCGCACTGTCTAACATAGCCCAGAATAATGTGTCTGCCTAATAATACTGAACTATACACTTGCACAAATAATAACTGCATGGGTGATTTTGCACGTATTTTCTTAAAAAAAAAAAACAAATTCAATTCCACCGGAAACGCTGTCCAACCATACTAGCTATCATGACAGAGACTGACCACGTATGATTAGGAAGATGAAAGCAGAGCAGAAATGTGAGAGTATTAATTCATTTTACATGGAGGCATTCCACACATCAGTTTTTGCCGTCTACCAAAACCAAGCCTGACCATTGATAACAGTGCATCAAGGCATCACTAATAACTTATCCTAATGCGTTTCATTTATTTACTGCCCCAATCAGACAGCACAGACTCTCGTCATTTATAGCTCTTCATAACAGTTGTTTCTCGTACAGTGAGACACAAATAAAGGAACCGAGCACACTGAATAATTGAGCGCGCGTAGACACGGATTGAATACGGTCACTCAGTCTTGCGTTATGTTCTCCTTTGTATACGCAGTTTCGAACCCAATGTTGTAATTCGTGTTACATTTTCACTCCTAGCGTTCACATCGACGACGTGCATTGCTTTAAAAAGCCTCGCACGCATACACAAATTCTCGGTGTAATTGTTTACTAAAAAAAATTAGCCGCCCGCTGAATGACCGCAGCAAACCTGCGTGTCCAGCTACGTGACTATACCGACCGGCGAGTGGTTGTTGCAACCAACAAAAATAATGTGCATTTGAAGCGATTATGTTCTTGGATTTATTGGCGTGAAACCTTATAAAGGTCAAACAGTGAAACTACAGGTCAGCTACTTGAGATAAATATTTTTGAAAAGATAGAGACTTTTTTTACAATTTCTCGTTTGACCAATGGAACCACTAAATTCGAATGAATATAAAAATCATCTGTGCAAAGTAAACATGCATGCCAATCTGCGAATATGAATGAACGCCGCGAATGAAGGAATCATTATGAGCTACGCATTTTTAGGCTATTGAATTAGATGGAAATGGGACGTTTCCTAATTCATGTTTATTCCGGTAATCAATGATGACTACGTTAAAAGTAATGATGACTTGCGATAACTTATTTCTCCATCGTCATTTACTCTCATGCCCAGAGGCCAGAAAAGCAGGAAAATATTACCATTATTTTAAGCCTTGTTTTAATGACTCGACGCACCAGCACAATTTACTAAGCGAATGCATGGAAGCGGGCTATAAAACACGGCGTCGTATTAAGGCATTGATTACAGAATAAAATGCTGGGAATTCTTGCGAAATGATTGCCCTGCCAGGTCTTAGCATTTTTAAATGTCGACTAATCACGGTTATTTAATTTTAACCGGCGCTCTTAACGATTTCATTCGATAAAAACTTTGAAAGTATCGAAAAAATTATCCGTGATCTTCTTGATTTCAAACTCATATCATTTGCGATGATTATATTGAAAGATAAATAAAAAATATAGCTTGGGGCTTAGCTTTGCATCTCGTGGTTTGTTTTGTAAGGAGAAAGAGTGCTCAAAGTTTATTTATTGATTACATCAAACAATCCATTCTATGTATGAATACACTCCAGGTTCATCGTCTGAAAAAGCATTTTTATTATCAACAATGCCTTTATAATCATCAAAAAATTAAATCTTAATATTGACATCGCGGTATTTACCATTCAAATAATACAACTTATCGTGAAAATTCTTAATCGTCGCCTACGTCATAATGTCCATCATCAACAAAAATATATCACTGAAAACCATATAAAGTCTATCATCAACAAAACGATTTTAACCATCAACAACACAATATTTGTAATCAACCGCAGATGGGCGAAAATTAGAGACTGGCTCCTGGGACCTTGGCTGCGAGGACGACTTGCCTGCCGGGGCCCCTGATTTTTGTGGAAAATGATTTTTGTGGAACACGAATTAAAGCGGCTCTCCATCGTCCGAGACACATATACTGAATTATACTATGGATACCTAATTTTGCAGCACTCACCTCGAAGTGCGAGATTTTCTTCTCGGTTGAAATTATTTTCGCCGCGCTCGTAATCCTGCACTTTTTCATCGCAGGGAAATTCTTGGTACGGAGATTTGTTATTCGAAGGAAAGTGTCCCAAGCGCTGCTCCAAAATGAAAACGTCGTCTTGATTCTCGTGATAGAACTTCATGATGGAAATGAACGGGTCCACAACCAATTTTTAGTCTAACTTATTGTACAGATAATAATTAAACTATATACTGGATTGTAGGGATAAGTTAAAGTGGGACAGAAAACGGTTGATCTAGCTATCGCACTTGAAAGACACTTTTATGAAAGTCGAAGGAGGATAAGGCCTAGTTGTTACATTGCCCTATGAAGTTCAGAACCACTCCAAACAAACGCAAACTACATCAATACAACTTAAATAGTGGCATTTCCTGCCCAATTAGCTATTCGTTCTTCTATAAAGATTGTATGCTTCACTGCTTCACACTGGCTTGTCATTAAGGACAGAGGGGGCTGAGCCTCGTAAAATTTTTGATCATATCTAAGTTAGTAATGACTTGTTGTATGTTCAGTTATTCGAACTTATATTCAGGCCACATTATATTAAATTTGTCGGTTATTTTTTCGTAAAAAAATATAAACAATTTTTACAAATGGACGTATAAATAATTACAGATGCTTCAGCCCTGGTAAAATCACAGATTTCAAGGTTCACGAAAACCGTTGTAAGAACAACTCATCACATCAGCTCGTGCGAAGACCCAGGGCTGATCACTAAAGGTCCCTTTACCATAACTTATGGCTGTGCCCAGATAGCAATGCTGGGCGAGGTCAAGTGAGGCTGAGAGATAAGGGAAAACATGATCTGAAGACCAACAATTTAGATTTTTGATAAATAGATAACTAAAGTAGAGTTCATCATGATCGATATTTCAACTAGTGCAAATATTATTAGCGTTGACGTTACATTGACAGTTGAAAGTGAGGGCCGGGGAAATTTTCAACGAAAAAATGGGGATTTTGAGATATAACTGTGCTTAAATGGGTATAAGCATCATTATCAAGGTCGAAGTAATATATATATTGCCGGCCCGATGAATGGGCTAATCACATTCAGTGTGAAGTCCAATCAGCGCGACGTCTGTGGTAGGATTCGTTCAACCAATTATGCCACCGTTGATGTTTCAAAATATCTCGGACGCACCCTATTCCGACCTATCACACAAGATGAACATGGGGGTTTATCTTAATGAACGATTCGACCTTGGCAATCATTTACATAATAGACAACTGACATTCTAGACTGGACGTAGCACAGCTAGAATCATGTCCGTAAATTCGTCGACATATAGGGAAACACATGAAATGCACGATTACTGAATTTCGGTTGCACATACAGTAAATAGCTGGACTAAAATACCAATGTAGCTATTCTCACCGTGCTACACTCTAAACAAACTATCAAAATTCCACATATATTCGTAGTATATTCTTCAAATCGTTATAGCCTATTGGCTTCAACAGGGTAGAAGATGAGTGAGCTGAATTCACTTATAATTGAATTTAATTTTAGTAAAAAATCAGCTTGTAAAATAGAACTTAGCAGAAGATGAATAATTATATTATGATATATTAGAAATACTATATCACATTCATAAACTTCTTCACAAATAAAATGCATTCGAAAAATAATGGAGAAAAGAAGGCTAGCTATTGTAGGCGCCAGGCGACGCAAATGATGAAATATGCTAAAGTTTGGCATGGAAGTTAACAGAAAATTCAGACGTGTCTCTTAAAAAACTGAGCCTTCCTCCGATTTTCAGCGGAAACTATGTTACATTTTCTATCGTTTCATCTTTGTTTACTTCTGGGCTTAAAAGAGTCGAAGCCTGAATGTTTTACTAGCGTCTTAACGATTAAATTACATACAAGGAACATGGATATCTCGTTAAATAACTTGAATTTCCTTGATTTTAAGAAATAACAAATCATACCGGTATTCGAAAAATAACGAAAAGTATTATTATACATGAGAAGACATGGTTGCAACGAGAGAGTAATGATTGAAAAGTCTAGTGTGGAAAAAGATCTTGGAGTTTAATTTTAAGATTTTAATTTTCTAAGCATGTTAAAACGCAAGCTAATACATCCAACAAACTTCTTGGACTAATCAGACGCTCTTACGAGTTCCTAGATGCAGAAGCGGTGAAACCGTTGTTTGTTGCTGTCGAGCGCCCGAATCTAGAGTTTGGAAATGTTGTGTTTTCACAGAGATATGAAAATTACAAAAATTTAATAGAGAATGTTCAAAGATGTGCAACAAGGATAATTCCAGGCTTCAAGGGCAAGTCATATGAAGAAAGAACAAAGATTATGAAGCTTCCAGCCTCAGTTATCGACGTCTGCGTGGGGACCTCATTGAAGCATACAAGTATACTCATGGTTTATACAAGGTCTCCGAATGATTACTAGAACTTGAAACAAGAACCAACACCAGGGGCCATGGCTATAAACTAAAAAAACTGTCCTGCAACTTATTCACGCGACAACATCTCTTCTCGCTTCGAATCACCGACATGTGGAACAGTCAGTCTCCCCGATTACATCGTTGGCGCTCCGAGTATGAACGCGTTCAAGAACAGACTATATACAGCTATGGAAAAATATATGTTCAGACTTGAAATGCCTAACACCATATCGAACCCGGTGGAAGTCTGGTAGCTATTTCAAACTATCCTCAGTCTTGAAAATATCCGGTCAAATGACACGATTTGAGATCTTCTGTGAACTAGTCACAATAAGTACAAGAATCTGCGATAGGCCACATAAGGCCTACTCTTCAGCGCCGACATCTCTATGTTACGTGATGTTATGTTATGTTATGTCTATGAAAAATGACGAAAGAGATGCATAGCCGCTGCGCCGCACTCAGCAGGGCGCACAGGAGTAAAACAATTTACTTCTTACATGTTTTCGACTTTTTTGGCAAGTATTTTCGTGATTTCCTATCTTGAATTGATTTTCGAATTTATTTCTGTTTTTTTTAATATCCTGAATTGTTTGAACTCTTTTACATTCATTTTCAAATAGTCGATCCTGACTTTTATCATCACTGACACTGAGCAAGACTGAACTTACAGATGCAGAAAGCCCAAATTAAAAAATTTAGTGATCAAAACACAAACTTATGATATATAAAATGTTAATAATCTATTCTTAATACATAAATGTTTAGGCTTTGTATGAGAAGTAATTTACAACTTAATAGTCGAGGGTATATAGGAAATGCATGTGCTTTGTATTTCGCATGTGCGTGTGTTTTGGGAGAGATTTTCCTCCTAGTTAACAAATTGATCTTTGTTGCCAAGCCTCGCCGCCAGCAGCATGATAGCCAAATCTTTTCTGCGACGCAGTTTTATTTTGAATTGTTTAACGATACTGAAATGTTCTTGCTGCAATATTTTCGTGCTGCCTCTGAGTATTTTCTCATACCATGGCAACAACAATATCGTTATTCCTTTTGTTGTCTGCGGAAGCTTGTGAGGACATGGATGATGTGGATAAAATCAGACTATTTTCGAAAGCTAATAAATCGTTCGATGTATTTTATGAATAACCTCGTCAGAATAAGATCCAACTGAATTACATATTCCTTTCTCGAAAAATTACAACATCCCTATATTGAATCGGTTGCGGAAATTTAATGATTAATTGGTTAGAGTTAATATGTTTCCCAGAATTTGAACACAAATGTGCTAGAATTTAGCTGCTGCCTAGAAAATGCGTTGCCTAAAAAACCCGACTGACGATTTCATGCAGCAAATATCGAATTAAATTGACGAGCTACGCTGCCTGAGAATTTTAATAACACGGAGGAGCGGAGCAGCGTATGTGCTGCATATTTCCCTAGATGCACTGCACAAGCTTCTGCATAAAAATCACGTATTGGTCAGTGTGAATAATTTATAAGGCATCACACTGATACATGATTTATCAACGGTAACTAAAAGTCCATCGACAGGGATTCTAATTGCGTCACTCAATAGTTTTAAAATTGACATATTTTATCCGTACTAAATTAAATCTTCAATACAAGTTTTTATCTTCATAATGTGAATTGCCAAAGCGTTGCGTACTAGCTCCATCTAGAAGCCAATATTTTAACGTGTAGCGTTAACGTTTAATTTCACTTTTGGATGGAGTTGCACTTCATTTAAACAAAAAAATAAATGAATAAATATAAAACATAAATTTCATTCCGATTGAAAGAAAGAATTTCGAATCAATTTTACTTTTCTTTTTTAAAAGACGACCATATCTTTAAATTATAAATGATTAAATACTAAATTCAAATTTCATACGTTTGTTCATATATGTCGAAGGATGAGCTACGCCCTTCAGCTTGTATTAAAAGTTGTCCCGGATGATGATGGACAATTAGCCGTGAAGTTTAACCTTCACTGCTAATTGTCCATCATCATACGGGAAGTGAAGTGAAGTTTAACCTTGGAAATTTTGGCGCAACACTTGCAAGTGACACAGAGTGACACAGGGAGCGCCCAGCTGAGCTGTGGTGTCAAGTGTCTGCCAACATCAGCTGCTTCTGACTCACAAATGATAAAGGCGGCACAGTGCCAGATGTGGCACTCTGAATGACATTGGGTACATTGGTGTGCAAAAAGTAGGCATTATATGATTAAACAGATCTAAATTAACTTCCATAAAACGTGGTGTGTCAGAAGTTAGGAAAGGAATGCACCGACACAAATAATTTCTTAAAGTTGATGGCTGTACAAAATGAATGGCGTTGTGGATACGACAGTACTTTCAGTTGAAGCTTAATATTGTTCAGAAGAAGGGACGATCCATCGTGGGTAGGACTGCTTCGTACGAACGTAGTAATTAAGGATACTAAGGAAGAAGAAATTTCATGTCAGAACATAGCATTATCAATGTTGACCTCACTAGAAAAACAATATAATAATTTGTAGGCCAGTACGATCGCGAACGATTTAATAAAATTTTAGGTGGTTAGGATAAAAAAATTCCTTACAAAAGACATTAATTCACGAACCTTTATGATTCCCTTTGATTCTAACCTTATGTTTTAGCTTATTTTTTCCTCGAAATTCCATATAATTTCAATTTTAGCGATAAATTGTCAAACATCAAGACCATGCATAAATGTGTGAAATAGTTTCAGGAATATTGAATT